TAAGATCATAATATTATTAGTAAATGCAAGTATTTTCAGATTCTTCCCCCTCTTACATGTGACACAGATCTGTTTTTTGAATGCAAGTGTGAACAGAAAAATCAAATGTTGATTTGACACACTGAACCTGATATTTGAAATTATTTAAATACATAATAATAATAATAATAATGGACTTAATCTTGCATATGTTATCTTGCAACAAATATCTTGCATTTATTACATATTAAAATGAAAATATTATTATAAATAAAATTATATATATATATTTACATATCTTTATTGCCAAAATAAATATATAACATTTAATTTAATATTTATATGTAAAAATTAATACTTAATTACATTTAACCCTCCGATATTAAAACATTAATAAAATAAAACATTTAAAAACAAAATATATAATAATATATTTTATTTGTTATAATACAATTATTGTGATTCATCATATATATTAATTAAAACCTACAGCAATAATAATAATAATAATAAGTCATTAAATAACTTATCCCTTTTTGGAGAACGTCATCACAATAATGTTGGTGATATTTAATTCTTGTGCTTCAGTGATAATTAAATATGATCATACAAAGTGAATGACCTGACTTAGTTGTTACAGTTACTGAATTTGTCAAGTTACATTTACGTGTTAAAATTCAGAAAAAATACGTATTTACTTCAATTATAAAAATCACATAAATTTAAATGCTGTACATTTAAATAATATTTGGATAGATTTAAATCATATTTACACTTAATTAAATATGGTTTATTTCAATAATTATTTAAACAATAATTACTCAAATATGTTTAAAGAATTGTATGTTCATTTTGACAAACGCACATCAGGTGTATTACCATTATGCCTTCACTTCGTCATTTCTAGAAGAGTGTTTTATGGATATGGGTTAGTTTTAAAGCAATATGGGCCACATTTAAAAAGACGTTTGAATATCCGTCCTCACAAAAACATAATTGGAGCATGATTTTTGCCTCTGAGAGGGTGTTTTGAGCACTAACGTTTTCTTTGAGTGGCTAGCAGCACAGGAACATCAGCAGGCAGTGTGGTGTCCTCTTCCTGTCCCGCTCTGGACTCCAGATACGACGTCACACACTGTTTGACCAGTGAGTGGGCTTTAGCTTCTGGAGGTTTGTCTTCTGGGACGTGGGGCTTCTTCACAGGCTCCTGGTTCTTGCTGGGGGTGGATTTCAGCATGGCGTCCTGCATCTTCAAAATCTGTCCGAGCTGATCGCACTCGCCGGATATTCGGGGTCTTTTGATGCCCTTCTTTGTTCCTTTGCCCGAAGGGTTTGCCGGGCCTGGCGTGGCTGGCTCGGGTGCTTGTGGGGAGAACACCTCTGTGGCTGTCACCTGGGTCTGAGGTCTCTGTGGGGAGAAAATGTCATCTATGACTAGTCGTTCTTCATCAGAATCCAAATCCTTGTCTTTCATCATATGTCTGGGCCGCTCGGTGGGAGGACACTGAGCTGAAGACGTTTCGATCTTCTCTTTTGCATCTTCACTCACACTTTCCTTCACTGAAATGGCACATTTATTCAGCGTACCGTCTCCCTCATCAGCCAAAGTGTCGGTTTCTCCTTGGACCTTAGCCACGGTCAACTCAAAGGGTTCTTTGGGAGCGTCTTGAGATGTTGAGGTGCGTTTTGTTGTACCTACAGAGTCTGTCGGTTTCTTGAGGCTTTGGATAGGTTGAGATGGAGTTGCGGTTGGATTTGTAGAAGCTGTTTTTGGTTCGTTCTGTTCCTTCACTTTCTTACTGGGCTTGTAGGACTCCCCAAATGACTCCAGGTCTGTTAGATCAGTCCCAAAATCCATACCAGCATCGTCAAATGCAGCCATACTCCTGGAGATCTTGTCCTGGGCAGAGTAAAGCTAAATAAATAACATTTACAACGTTTCTATTTTAAATATTTCTCACATAGCTCATAGTTATTTGGATTTACCTTACATGTATTTATTTAGCAGACACTTTCCTGAATAATAACATAATATACAGATATATAAAATAAAAGAGTTGTATAATATAGTAGTACAATACAATATTAAATATAATAAGCACACATAATATAATAAACACCCATAATTCCTTTTTTTCTTCACAAAAATATTCATTCTTTCATTCATTCATCAATTTATATATACATTACCGGTCAAACCTTTGGAATAATGAAGGGTTTTTAAACATTTTTGAAAAAGACTCTTATGCTCACCAAGCCTGCATTTACTTGATGACTAATACAAATAAAAATGTTATTACAATTTAAAAGAAGTCTTGTATTTTAAAATGTAATTTATTCCCGATTCAAATTAGATTTTTCAGCAGCCTTTACTCCAGTCTTCAGTGTCACATGATGCTTCAGAAATCATAAAACATAATCAAAAACAATACATTTAT